AACAAATGAATTCTTTTGTCTTCTGAAATATGAAGGTAATTTTTTCATACTAATAACTAATTTTAAATTCTCGTTTCATTCTTATTTCTAATTTACACTCACTCTTTAATTATTTATTTATTTGTTAATTAATTTATTTATTTATAATTTGATAAACTTTAAGATTTTTTTCGTTCAAAAAGCATTAATTATCTTAAATATTTCGTTGTTTTAATTATTAATTCATATTATATATATTTTTAACTCTATTATTTAAATATTATGTGATATTTACAACTAAAATAATTATTTTTGCAGTTTAAGTTAAATTTAGCTGAAATCAAAAAATTCTTGAGATTTTTTAAAAGTAATTTAATTGTTTTTTGGTTCAATCCATTTGAGTTAACTTGCTAATATGCTATTACCTTTCATTTTAGCTTGTTTTATTAGCAGATGTATTGCAGTTACACTTTGCTCAAAAACATCTTTACATGAAACGAAAGGATTATTTTATCTTCTGAAATACGAAGGCCATGTTTTCATGCTTTTTCAGAATGATTAATTCTAAACTGTGTTTTTGTTTCTTGTTTCATCCTTATTTCTAATCTACACTCTCTCTTTAATTATTTATTTTATTTATTTATCTATTTATAAACTGATATTAAACTGATATTTAGATTTTTTTTTTTTCAGGAATATTTTGCAAAATGCTTCAATTGTGTTCCACTTTTTACTCATATGAAGCTCATGTAATTGTTCTGTAAGGAAATTGAATATTCCAAATGTTCCCTCAGCTGATGTGTGTGTGGGTGTTTGTGTGCACACAGTGTAGTTGTTCACACAGATGCTGCGAGTGAAAACATGTCGCCAGTGTTGTCGGTGGGCGCAGATGATTGACGGCGTCTTTATGCGAATGTGCAGTAATTGAGCGTTTCCAGACTGCAAACGCCTGTATTTTGAGATTCAATGTTAAAACTCGATGAAATACAGAATGTTCTTGAGTGCTGTGAAATGTTTTCAGTATTGTTTGACTGTGTTTTGATCAAATGTTTTGATTGGCATTTGATGATTAAATGATCTGATCATACACTTAGGTATTTGATTATCTTATGCTAGTTTGCAAATTAATAGCCTTTGATATCATAGTGTTTTTTTTATTTTTATTTTTTTGCTATTTTGGAGACAAAATTATTACCCCCTATGATTTTTTTTTGTTTGTTTGTTTTATATAGGTATCTACACTTAACGGCCAGTTTATTAGGTACACCTTTCTAACTGCTTGTTAACGCAAATATCTATTTCTGCCAATCACATGGCTGCATCTCAGTGGATTTTGGCATGTAGACTTCTGCTGCAGTTCAAACTGAGCATCAGAATAGGGAAGAAAGGTGATTTAAGTGATTTTGAACGTGGGATGGTTGTTGGTGGCAGACGGGCTGATCTGAGTATTTCAGAAACTGCTGATCTACTGTGATTTTCTCGCACAACCCTCTCTAGGGTTTACAAAGAATGGTCTAAAAAAGAGAAAATATCCAGTGAGTGGTAGTTCTGTGGTCGCAAATGTTTATGCCAGAGGTCAGAGGAGAATGGCCAGACTGGTTCCAACTGATAGAAAGGCAACAGTTACTCAAATAAGCACTCGATACAACCGAGGTCTGCAGAAGAGCATCTCTGAACACACAACACGTCCAACCTTGAGGCAGATGGGCTACAGCAGCAGAAGACCACACCGGGTGCCATCCTGTCAGCTAAGAACAGGAAACTGAGGCTACAATTCACACAGACTCACCAAAACTGGATAAAGAAGATTGGAAAACGTTGCTGCTCTGATGAGTCTCCATTTCTGCTGTGAAATTCAGATGGTAGGGTCAGAATTTGGCACCAACAACATGAAAGTATAGATCCATCCTGCCTTGTATTAACAGCTCAGACTGATGGTGGTGTAATAGTGTGGATTTTTTTTTTTTTTTTTTGGCACACTTTGGGTCCATTAGTACCAATTGAGCATTATGTCAATGCGACAGCCTACCTGAGTATTGTTGCTGACCATGTCAGTGTACCCATTTTCTGATGGCTACTTCCAGTAGGATAACACGCCATGTCATAAAGTGACTGGTCTCAGACTGGTTTCTTTAACATGACAATGAGTTCACTGTACTCAAATGGCCTCCACAGTCCCTAGATCGTAATCTAATAGAGCACCTTGGGCATGTGGTGGAACGGGAGATTCACATCATGGATGAGCAGCCGACAAATCTGCAGCAACTGTGTGATGCTATCATGTCAATATGGAGGAAAATCTCTGAGGAATATTTCCAGCACCTTGTTGAATCCATGCAACAAAGAATTAAGGCGGAGCTGAAGGAAAAAGGGGGTTCAACTCAGTGCAAAAGTGTACCTAATAAAACGGCCGGTGTGTGTATATCACCCATGTGCAGCACACGAACATTTTTTAACAGTATTATATATATATATATATATATATATATGTATATATATGTGTGTGTGTGTGTGTGGGGGG